TACGCGGGCCTCTCACTGTTGTGGCCTCTCCCGTTGCGGAGCACAGGCTCCAGACGTGCAGGCTCAGCGGCCATGGCTCACGGGCCCAGCCGCTCCGCGGCACGTGGGATCCTCCCGGACCGCGACACGAACCCTCGTCCCCTGCATCAGCAGGCGGACCCTCAACCACTGCGCCACCAGGGAAGCCCCAAAATATATCTTTAAAATTCTTTAAGTTTAGGGTGAAAATCTGAGATGCCAACTTAAAAATGGGTCTAAGGGAACATGGTTTTTACGGGTTTTTTTTGAGAAGTATGATAGCCAAACGTTTGAAGACCTTTGTTATATTTTATTGCTATTAATTGTTCACACAAGGGGAGGGCACTGTCTTCTTGCTCTTCTTCCTGTGAAGTGCAGGATTTAATTGGTTGGTATTTTGCATATGCCTTACCTTTTGCTAATTAAACTTTAACTGAAAAACATGAATATCTTTCATGTGCCAGACTCAGTGCCGGGTATATCAGAAGAGACTCCAGGTCGTGCCTTCATGGTGTTCATAGTTCAGCCTCTACTCTTTGGGTTAGAGACTGAATCTTGATAGGAACTACAGCGTTCAGGTAAAAATGTGTGGCAGTTGAGTTAGGAACCGCAGGGATTCAACTAGGGATACAACCGTAATACTGTAAGTATGGTACTTGCAGAAGAAGAATGGTAGCATTCTTGGTTCTTGTAGGTACTGTGGCTTCTCCAAAGACTATCAGGTTAATATCCTTATTTGTCAAAATTAAATATGCCTGAAAGACTGCTGAAATTGGGCCAAGGGGACTGCGTTTCCTTGTTTGATTGGGTTTTTATAAAGAGCATTGCTGTTCCACTGAGTCTTTGTGACAAAATAGCGTTAAAATTACTCTTTCAATGAAATAAGGACACCATATTACTGACCAGGGTTCTGGGCAGTAAACTCTTAGAGTGGTGGCTTCATTTTCTTTATTATCAGGAATTTCTTCAGTTATGAATCAGAAGATTCATTTCATAAGTATTTTAGGAATAGCCAGAACTAAGAGTAGAACAGATTAACTCAACCTGATAGGATAGTGTTCTAGACACTTTTCATTTCTTCAGTGTTGAACTATGCTAATTTATTAGTGTAATTAAATGTAATTTGAGGGGTGTGAGACTCAAAATTCGTATGTACTGAATTCAACATTTTGCATAATTTCTCTTAATTCATTTTTGAAGGGCATAGAGTTCTGTCTTACATTATAAAGAAGTTGTTTAAGTAAATGCGCTCAACTTTATTTTGCTTTTCCCCCTAGGTGAAAAGAAATGGATTATCTCAGACAGTTAGCCAGGAAGAAAGAAAGAGACAAGAGGTATGTTTTCCACCAAGCAGATGCTTTAGGGTTCCAAGGGGTGCCTGTTATGTTCAGCATTTTCCTTTGACGTTGTATCCATTTTTTTTTTTTTTTTTTGCGGTACACGGGCCTCTAACTATTGTGGCCTCTCCCATTGCGAAGCACAGGCTCCGGACGCGCAGGCTCAGCGGCCATGGCTCGCGGGCCCAGCTGCTCTGCAGCATGTGGGATCCTCCCGGACCGGGGCACGAACCCGTGTCCCCTGCATCGGCAGGCGGACTCTCAACCACTGCGCCACCAGGGAAGCCCCATTTTTTTTTTTTTTCTTACAAAAGGAGTATGTGATCATTGTCAAATAAAACTACACATAAGCCCCCATAAAAGAAAATTTAAAATATACCAATGTCATTTTAACTTAACAAAGCACCTAGTCTGCGCGTATTTACACTGGAAGAAATATGTTGAAAAATGAAACAGACATTACTTAGATCCTGGAACTGAAAAAGGATGTTAGTGGAAAAACTGGTGAAATCTGAATAAAGTGTGAATATTTGTCTGCAGACAAAATGTAATGTACCCTGGATAGGGAAGGCCAGGTGAAGGAAATATAGGAACTCCGAACCGTCTTTGCAAGATTTCTATAAATCTAAAATTATACCAAAATAAAAGTTTACCTATTAAAATGTAAAACAGATAATAAGAGGGTTTCATAACTTGAAGTTTAATAAATGCAGTTTAAGAAAATTGCTCACTGTAATAATATTGCGAACTTGTCAAAGTACTTTCCTTCTGTTTTATGCATATGAGTATGGAGATACAGAAGCGTAGGCATATACATGCATGTAAATCAATTCCACAGAGGACATGAGATACCTTTTTCTTATTTCATTGGCCTGAAATAACACAAAAATATAAGGATGCATTGTAGTGCCATTTTTTTAACTTTAAAAGAAAAATAGTATATAACATTGGTGTATACGTCTCTGAGAATTAAAAATGTATTACATTTATAATTTTTTTCTTATTTTTATTTATAAAGAAGCTAAGACTTTCACTGAAATTGAAGTCCTACATTCTCTTCCTCTGTCTCATTCCCTTCCTCTCCTCCCCAGAGGCAACTATAATTATGAATTGATGTGTATCCATCCAGTCATGTATTAGGTATATCTATGTACATATACTTGTGTGTATCTGTTAAGATGTAGATAAATGGTATGATTCTGAACCTGTTTTGGTTGGTTGCTTTTTACATTCAACACTGTTTCTGAGATTTATCCATGTTAATGCATGTTAATCTAGATCATTTACTCAAACTACTGTATAGTATTCCATTCTCTAAATACTACTTAAAAAAAAAAATCTGTTCTCCTAGTGAGGGACAACAGGCAGTACTTTTTTTCTTTACGGTTAACATTGTGGCATAAACAATATTTCTCTCTGTTTGTGGACAAATTCAAGAGCTTCTCCAGGGTCCTAGTCCCATTTGAATATTTCTTTTCTTTTAAACCTATTCTGTTTCCCTTATATTTTGAAAATATTTATTTAGATTTGTGATTTAGAAAAGTAATGACTGGGAATTCCCTGGCAGTCCAGTGGTTAGGACTCTGTGCTTTCACTGGCGAGGGCCCAGGTTCAATCCCTGGTAATGACAGCAAATCTAACTATGGTTTCTTTCTATTCCTATACAGATATTTTAACAGGTCTAATGTGATTTGCTTTTAAGTAGTTGATGACCCAATTGCATGTTTTAAGTTATTACATTAAACTTATTATGTTAAACTACCACTTAGTCATCTTTTCCTGTGATCTACTCTGTATAGTTTATCATATCTTTTTGTTTGAATCTTCACATTTTGGATTTGATTACAAAAGTCTCTACTTTTGAAAATATTTTTTACTCATTCCAAGGCACTATATCCATCAACAACCTGAAATCCATTATTTTTGGTCAGGATGGGTGAATTTTCTTTAGTTTGCATTACATTTCCTGATGATAATTGTATTGATTGAATAGAATCACACGAGATACAGGTTGAATGAGACTCTTAATGTTCTTACTCTTTACTCATTAGATGATTATATCACTTAAGTCCCTGGAGCGCAACTGAGGTTAGACCAGTATGACTCCTCTAAAAGCTTGTGGATGCTAAAAAGAGAGGTGAACCCCGAGACTAGCACCACTAACCTGACTTAAAGAACTATGGCTCACCTACCGGCAGCGGGGCGTCCACCTGCCTGTGCCTGACTGCTCCCACCCGGCCTCAGCTGGAGCACAGGGTCTCACGGGGAGAATTTTCTGTGCCCTTTGGGCCAAGCACTGAGGGGAAGAACCCTGGAGGTCAAGGGGGTTGATGGCAGTGTTACTAGGGAAGGTCTCCGGGAAGGATGGGAACCTCAAGCCTGCAAGGATGTTCACTATCCCTCCCTGAGGAGGAATTCACCCTGCCTGGCCATTCTTGGAGAATCTGATTTTGTTAAGGTGCTAGATGAATTCCTTACACAGGGTGCTGGTGTCCCTCCACGTATATGGGTTGGCTTTTGATAATTAATGAACGCTTATCAGGTAAACCACTGTGTGCCTGACACCAAGAGTTTCTGCCGAGGGTCCTTCGCTCCTTCTTGAGACACTGATGGGAGCAGAGAGGGTGGCTTGTTGGACGGAATTACTTTCAATTGTATGAGTTTATATAAAAGAATTCCTGTGGCTGATAAGAACCTTTTGAGGGTAGGTCCAATCATGCTCTTTAATGCACCCAGAATATTTGTTCTTATTAACCACAAATTAGTTGGATTAAAACATAGGGAGAGAAAGGAGGACCCACAAGGGAGGGAAGAAATGTATTTGTGAGAAATTTTCTCTGAATCCCAAGTGAGGTCCATAAATCTTCACTGTCCCAGAGCAGCATGCTTTGAAATCAGGGCTGGAGGAGATGACCCCAAAGGTTAATTAAGGTCACACTGAGATTTTAGGACATGCCTTAGCTTCCTCCCAGAGATTCTGCCCCCTGGCAAAGTGTGACCTCAGGATGCAATCTCAAGTCATCCAAATACTTTCATTTTTTCCTATTTACACTCTAGGCAGTGACTCTATTTCTCAAAATTTGGGTGTATGTGCCTTATATAAAGACAGTAGTTTGGTAATGTAGTTTTTAATACTTATCTTTTTGTATTTTTTTAGATATTATGTTATTCTTATAGCAGAATTGTGAGAGCTATAGGTTTAATTCTTTAATTGAAGGAATGAATAACACACTTCTTCTTCCTTCTATCAGGCTATCTTTGAAGTTATATCCTCTGAACATTCATATTTACTCAGCTTGGAGATCTTGATACGAATGTTTAAAAATTCTAAAGCACTGAGTGATACGATGACCAAAACAGAGAGTCACCATCTTTTCTCCAATATTACAGATGTCTGTGAGGCAAGCAAAAAGTAAGTTCACTTTCGTTTGCCTTTGGTCATGCCAAGACATTACTTATTAACAAACAGCTGCGTTATCTCAAAAGGAAGACATTTCGAGGTGTGAAGTCTCTCATTTGTTCAATTGACTTTTATCTTTATTCCTTGAAATAAATTTCAAGATGTGTTTCAAGGTGTTGATGTATAGACAGATGCTAAGTGTGTAATTAATTGTCACAGAAGACAGTTATATCTAAGGTCTCTATATTCCTTCTCTTTTTCCCTATTTTTCCTTTTTCCCTTTTATTTTTCCTTTTTAATTATGCCAATAATATAACAACATTAGTTGGAAGGAAACAAGGTAACTCGCTATCAAACCATTCAAATGCAGAAATTATTTCTGTTTACATTTTCATAATAGTCTTGTCCTTGTTAAGATATGTATATATATTTTTAAAATGCAGTCATAGTGACCATAACGATGTTTACAGATTTTCCCTATTTCACTTTCCATAAGCACTATTAGAAGAGTTTCCATTATTATTCTTTTTTTTTTGTGGTACGCGGGCCTCTCACTGTTGTGGCCTCTCCCGTTGCGGAGCACAGGCTCCGGACACGCAGGCTCAGCGGCTATGGCTCACGGGCCCAGCCGCTCCGCGGCATGTGGGATCTTCCCGGACTGGGGCATGAACCCGTGTCCCCTGCATCGGCAGGCGGGCTCTCAACCACTGTGCCACCAGGGAAGCCCTCCATTATTATTCTTAATGAGTGCAGGAAGCTCAGTTTGTACACCAGTGGTGAGCTCTTCTGTCCTTCCGAGGGAACTACACAGCCTGTACTGGAGCCATGTGCCAGCAGTGTTGCTGTGCCACCGGAAGCCCTCCATTATTATTCTTAATGAGTGCAGGAAGCTCAGTTTGTACACCAGTGGTGAGCTCTTCTGTCCTTCCGAGGGAACTACACAGCCTGTACTGGAGCCATGTGCCAGCAGTGTTGAGCCACCCGAAGTTGCTATTTTGGTAGATCAAAATGGATTGAATATTGGCAGTTTTGTATGGTTGGGTCACAGGTAGGTTTACTGTACAACTCATAGCTTAAGCTTCAAGGCTCCTCATTTGCAAGGGCACCTTTTAAATATTTGCTTTTGTGCCTAATTTTTTTCTTAGAGGGCCTCCAAATTGTACAGGCTTCAGGGCCCACAAAAACAGGATCTGTCCCTGGGGTGAGTACCCCTCATGAATCTGGACATTGTTCATTTGTCACTTTAGGGAAAATCCAAGTAGGCAGTGATGGTAACACGTTTGTATCCCTGGCTCCATCGCTGTGTGCAGGTAGATTTTCCTTTTGAACTGCAAGATTGAACATCTGTGCTGAACAGGTTAGCGTGTGAGTTGGAGCCACTGCAGAGATGCAATTTGTGGTCAGATCAGCGAGCTCTCCCAATATTTTATGGCAGTGACATAACTTCAGAAGCCAGATTCTGCCACAAGAAAAGATCTTGACAATCTTATTACTGGCATGGATACTTAAAAATATGTGTCCAGAGAACCTGCTGGGCCTTAGAGAACAGGGGCCTGTGGTGTGCAGGTGGTGACACACACTGCAGCTTGGAAGTCCTTTTTCAGAAGCTGGGTCATTGCTTGTGTTCAGCCTATTGGTTTTCTTTTTGGTACCAGTCTTGCCCATTTTGGTAAGAGAAATGAAAAATCTCCTTTCTCCCGTTAGTGAAGGGGGCAGAGCAAGAGCCTTAGATGGTGTGTCCCTGTTCAACAGGTATTCAGATTTCAAAATGAGTCTCTTTCATTTTAACTTGTACTTTGGTTTAACTACGAAAATAAATCTCCATGTTAGATATATCGCTATAAAGAATTATTTCTGTTTTGATAACCATAAAATGTAAGTTATGATTTTAATTAGAATATGTTTCCTGAAAACCATGGTGGCATGTTTTTCACTCCTCTCTGGAATTGTTCTTTGAATCGTGTGGCCATCAGTCCACTTCTCATAGCCTATAAATGACTCTAGAGAAAGCTGTTAGTCAATTCTGATTGTTGAGTAGCAGCAGTTCTTGAACAGAGTATATTTTGGGTCCTAAGAGTCTCTGGGCCTCGGCAGCACTGCTCGTGTACCAGGCATGCTTCAGAAGGAGCCTGGGCCCCAGCAATCACATCTTGTCTTGGTAGTTGGTTAACCTTGAGAAGGTTGCTAAACCTCTCCAACTCATTTCTTATATATAAAATAGGGATAAAAACCATAATTGGTTAACCCTGAAATAAGTCATTTTATTTAAATTATAGATGAAAATTTTATTATTTTAATTTCACTCATTTACAAAATTTAAATCTATTATGATTTTATTTAAATGTTTTCATTTCTGTAGTAACTTAAAATAAGAGACTATTCGGGACATTTTTGTCTATTTTTCACTTTTAAAACAAAACTCAAACTTCTCAGCCTGCATTAAATGATAAAGAAAGAAATATCTTTATCCTTTACATTTTTTGTTTTGTTTTTATTTGAAATGCAGTGTTTTAATTTGGAGAGATGCCTATATAATATTTGATCTCTGTTATATTTCAACTAAGAATGATCAGCTTCTGCATGGTAATCCTGTGTCTGTATCGTAATAACTTACATTATAAAAGTTTATTTAAGCTTGAAATACTCATTTCAGATACAGCCTTTTTAAAATTCAAAGTTCTCAGAAGATTTACAAAACCTATTTCATTATGTAAAGCCTGCTTGTTGAATTTCCAGCATTTGGGCTCCAAGAGTGACTGACTCTCAAGTGGTAATGCCTTCATGTGCTACCCATGAAAGAGTTTCCAGTCTTGAGAAATCATAAAATTTTCATTTTTTTCTTGAATAAACAAACGATCAGTGTCTGAATTAAGTACTGATTAAGTGGGGCATTGTTAAGTGTGGCATAATCAAGACTCTTTTCATTGCTTTACTTTTACCTGATGAAAAATTGTAGCTGTAGGTGGCGGGATATTCAGTGGAGGCTGAGGTCACAACATGCTCAGCATTTGACTTAACAATGTGATGTCTGGTCCTCTTTACAGTGGCTCAGGTTCTTCACTGTTTTCCAGTAAATGTCACCAAGAAGCCCTTATGTATAGGAGGAAGCTATATGAAAACAAACAGGCAGGGACAAAATCATTCTGATTCTGGGTGTGTGCATTTATCAGTGGATGTTCCTACTGAATTCTTTCCTGCTTTATAAAGAATTGTTCATTTCAGTCGACACTTGTGGAGCCTTCTATTCTTCCAGATGCCTGGATTCTAGAGCATTTCAGCTGGTGGCATCTGCCCTGTGGCTCTTGGTCCTCAGGGGCCAGTGGCGGCCAGTGGAACATCCCCAGTGTGTGTGCAGAGGCATCCTAGGGCAGGGCACTTACCCAAAATGGGCAGGTTTGGGTCATGCCGGAGGTTATGGGCCTAGGGCCCCTGGTGAGAATCACAGATGAGGATGAGAGAAGATGGTAATGGCCTTTGTGTGCCTGCTGAGGAGTTTTTACTGTTTACTGAAAGCTGGGTGGACACAATGGGCAATTAAGTAGGGGACTGACCTGGTGGTCTGGGAGATGACAGTAGAATGGTGTTTGCATAAGAGAGGAGGTGAAGATGGTGAAAGGTTTGGGGCCATTGCAGTAACACAGCCAGAGATGATGGGAATCCTATAGGAGTCCTAAGAGGAAGGACTTGAAGGATATTTAGAACCTGCAATCCTGAGGACTTGGCAAGAGAGAGGGAGGAGTTTTGTTTATCTCCCAGCTTCTGCCTGGTTGACTGTGGATGGTGGTTGTATTAGCCAGGGTATAAGAGAAACGGGTTGGGGCTTAATGAGGGAGATAAGGAATTCAATTTGGGGCAAGTTTGAAATGACTGTGGAGCATGAGGGGAAGGTGTCTAGTTGAAAGGAGAAAAAGATTAGAATTCCAGAAACATCTTGACTTGAATGTAGATTTGAACCCACATTCTTGGCACAGTGGGTTTAAGTGAGATACTAGAGCTTGTAGTGATGGTTTTTAAGTGGTGGTGGTGGTACTGGTGGTGGTTGTGTTTGCCTCCTGGGGGCATTTGGAATGTGTTTTCGGTTGCCCCAGTGACCTGGGGACTCTATTGGCATTAGTAGGTGGGGGCCAGAGGTGCCAGACGTCCTACAAGTGGTAGAACTGCCCTAGACAAGCATGAATTGTCCTACCCAAATGCCCGTTGTGTCCTTGAGATGCACGGATCGAGCAAAAAGTAAAAGAAAACCAAGGTCAGAATTTTGGCACAGAAACATTTAAGGAGCCTGCATCCGGGGCGTGGGGGACAAAATTGAAGCAAATAGGGTAAGAATTACTGCCAGGACCTTTCTCAGGCCCCTTGGCTGTGGAGGGTTTGCCTCTGTCTTTAATGCCTTCCTGTCACCCCCTGTGTCAGTGCCATGGGCAAGGCAGCTATTTGCTTTGTAATCTTCTTTAAAGGCATATGCGGAGAGGCAGCTGGAACCCTACTGGTTCTGTATTTGACCCCTCCTACAAAGAGTGCGGCCCTTTTCTTTTTCTTGGGATGATTAGAACTAAATCCTCCCAAGTTCAGGCAGTCCCAGTATGCCTTTGGTCAGTGCCAGGGCAGGGCCTTTGACCTCCCAGCTCTGGACCTACTTCCTTCTACCTTTGACTGCTTTAACTTCCCTCTGACTCAAATGCATGAAATCTCCCTGGATTCATGGTCTCTCTGTCTTTTAAGGCCCAAAGATGTCCTAAAAACCTAATCATCCCATGAAAAAAAGGGAGTATTAGATATCTTTTGTTTAGAAATGAATAGGCTTAATTCATAAATAAACACCACACATTCTATATGCTTTGCCTATTTGCATATATCCTTTGATTATTTTTTTTGTTCTGCTTTTACGTATCTGTGTTCATTTAGAATAATTTATAGATAGTTGCCATATTAATAGAAAAAGACCTACAAGTATGATTAATTTACATGAATTAGCAACAGAATATGATCTTATTCAGTAATTCCACTTGTTTTTA